ACATATATATATATATATAAAATGCAAAATCGTTGATGAAGAGTTGGGAAAGTCTATTTGCCTACAAAACGATTGCGAATAACGCTTGTAATTTCCGTGTATCGCATTGCCTGCAATCTCAATTGTCGACAGTCTGAATTGCTCACTGGGTGATAGCTTACAAGCACCACCAGTACACAAAAGTAGAGATGGACAAAAGTCGATCGATTAATCAACGTCCCCTTCTTCTGCTTCTTTCTGTTCAAGAAACTGATTTCCTGATGTTTTTGGCTTCTAGTAATCCCTATACCGATAACCTTTTTGTTCGATTAAGTTTTGTTATTAAACTTTATTGAACGTGCGGTGAACATATAAAATTTCTTCACTGTGAGAGAATTAAATCTTTCTTATCGAAATTAATTTCTCTGTCCCTAACTCGGCGTGTTTAATTCTTTATCGCATAACATTAACATTCATTATCCAAGCCCTTAGGGTAATCTCGATCAAACCTTAACCTCCGATTAACTTAATCAACGATCAAGTTATCAAGAAAGACCCGCAATATTTGGTTATCACAGATAGAATTACTAATGTCTTGTATTTTGGCATGTAAATAAGATTACAATTTAGATTTAGATGATAAATTATACAGTTAGAAATGTGTACTGTGAAACACTTCTGTTGATTGAATTATTTATTAATCGATCGAAGTAAGCCTTAAACTTCTTAGTTTAAATTTACATTAAAATAGTTATTTTTAAAAATTACGAATTATCGATCATTGATGTTCATTAATTCAATGGAAATGTTATTGAGCAGTGTAAAAAAAAATTGATTGTTTAAACATTGAGTCTTTCTTTAATATTTAATATTTGCGAAATAATAAATTGAGATACCGATGCATGTTGCAAAAGACTGCATACATGATCTCACATGTATAAACAATGCATGCATGGTCACTTTGCATAGATAAAATGAAAAAAATCTCTTTAATAATTTGTAAACATTAATTACATTAGTAAAATTACTTTAGATCCTTTGCGAACGCAAGTATTTTACATTTTGCGAAAATAATTCAGATTTTTGCTTGTGTAAATGATAATTGATAGATGTTTGTATTATTTTAAGATCCGTACTTCGTAAAAGTAGAAATCTACCTCTCTCGGCTCCATGAATAATTGAGCATAAAAATAACGCTTCTTGAAAATAAAAATCTATCAAAATCTATCAAATTAACTTAAAATTATTATATTTATTTCAGTTGCGGTCGTCGTTGACAAGAGAATACGACCTCCAGATGGGCAAAGAATAAAAGAAAGAGAAAGGAAAGGACTCATCATTTATATGTGACACGGCTAACGTATAATTTAATTATACGTTAATAGAGTTACAGACATGTTGTTTTAGAAAGGATTGAAGTGCTAAATCTTGTGTGCATGAAAAGCAGGTGGACCTGACATTTGGATTCTCCAAGCATGGAATGTGGAAAATCCCAATGGCACAATATACAATTATAGACCACGTTTCGCATTGAAGACAACGGCAACGGGCAATCTCGTTATGCAAACCCTCTCTGGGGAGTATACCCCATTCATTTTGCATGGAAAATTGCAAATTTATCTAAATCTGTATAAACTGATTACGCATACTATTTACAGTACTTAACATATTCGATTCCAGATAGATTTGCAACTTTCTACGCGAATTAAACTAGAATAGCGTGCATAAAATGCTCAAGAAATTTTCACAGCACTCGAAATTTTAGCCACACGCAATTATGTTATTAACGATACATGCGTACACGAACTATTAACCCGATTTAATTATTTTATGTGTGGTTGTACGCATGTACACATATGCACAGTAAAATTATAATACATTGCGGCTTACCCGCAAATCCGTACTCCGAACTATTACTTATGCATAATAACGCTTGTAGTCTATCTCTCAGTATGCAATTAGAGCTGCCGACTACACAACTGAATGGAGATTGTAGGCAATGTAATTGTAAGCAAATTGAACTATTGACAATTGGTTTGTCGACAAACTTCTCTCCAAACTTAAAACTTTATCAGCATTTTATGAATTTTTTAATCTCTCTAAAGATATACATTTTTGGAAACAGAAAATATTTTGCTTCACACTTCCAATTTATATTTATATAATATCATCCCCTTTAGAATTAATATATTTTGTATTTAAAATGTAATGTATGTGTAAGTATATGTCCAACATATCTAAAGGAATGTATTATTCCAGACAATTATTGTTATTAATTATTGTTATTAATATAATTATTGTTATTTCTGTTGTTGTTGTTATTTCATTACAGTTTTATTATCATTATCGTTATCATTATCATTATCATTACCATTATCGTCATCATCATTATTATAGACATTATTATTATTATTATTATAAAAAAGATGTTCTAAATAAAAGTTGCTTAATTTTATTAATTTATAACTAAAAAAGTAATGAAAGAGAGAGAGAGAGAGAGAGAGATCTTGGAGTAATATCTCTCTCTCACACACGCGCGCGCGCGCGCGCGCGCACACACACACACACACACACACACACACATTCAAAGATTCTTTCATTCTTGTAGTGTTTCATGAACAATAGTTATGAACCTTTTCATTAAAAACTTCCTAAGTAGTTCTAAATCTTCAAAGTTTGAATACCACTGACATTAGCTTTACTCAAAGTACCACGATGGAGTTTCAACGAGATGGATTACAAAAGTATAAGTACGCGTCTCATCTTCATGAGTCACTTAGCGTAAAATACTATCGTGTGTTTCTTGGTATTTTTTTCAACAAAAAATCTAAAACTTTACTCGTATATTCTATGCTGTTATTATTAATTAAAAACATGAAATTTATAAATTTGAAAAGAGAAACTGAAGAGAGAGAGAGAGAGAGAGAGAGAGAGAGAGAGAGTTATATTTTTCAATTTATTATTTATTTTTCTCTATATTATTTAACTAAATTTTTATTTAATAGCAAGATATTACAGTGAAAAATTCGGAAAATATATGCGATGGAAATTATAACTTTTTTTGTAAAGTTTCTCTTAAAAATTGCGTATTTTTTAATATAAAAAAATTGCTGGTAATGTAGAACCCGAATAAAAAATTATTACAATAAAAGTTGATCGAAAAAGCTATAAAAAGTTAAAAGAATCGTTTCATTCGTTTTCGCGTTCTATACATATGTAATGTGCATATACACGAGCTGCAGCATCACAATTGCACGTTGCATGTGTTTTCGTGGTCTTGTAGTATGCAAATCGTAACTTGCACGTGGACGTGAGCGTCGAAACAAAATCAGACGACTTTTATTCACCGAGAAAAAGGCATCGAGATCAAAGGCTCTTTGTTTGCGCAATCTGCTGATATATCAAGTTGAAATTAAAAAGTTAATCGAGACATAACAATGATCGTAAAAATGTTGCGTAATGTTGTAAATAATGTTGCTCAAAATATGGATAAATTTTGTAGGCACGTTTTTAAAATTATTATATTTTATTTATTAGCGAGATGATTTATACATCCAGTTATTTACTTATATTTATTATTTATATTTTAATATGTTATTTACTTACTTTTGTATATCTCCATCTTCGTCCCTTCATATACAAATTTAATATCCACGAACAGAATAAAACATCTAAAAAATTAAATTGCTTTCAAATAAGTTATTTTTTTTTTATCTTCATTAGCTCTTTTAAGTCTCATATAGTTGAATAAAGTCATTATATTATACAGAGTATTCACTCGGCGTAATTACCGAAATATATCTTTCTTCGTTTGAAATTTTTTAGAAAGAAGTTATGCGGTTTGAAGGAATCAATATTATAATAAAGTTAATAAAATATTTAGTTCAAAATCATATTTTTTTAGATTTTAAAGTTATCGTTGTTCTTGCCGATAAAATCCTTTATTTTTATTAATATCAAACAACGTTATGGCAAACAACGAAAATATATAATATTTATATAATATTTTTTTTCTTCAAAATTCTTCCTTTAAAAATAACCGAGACATTTTAAAAGTGAAGTTAGGAGTGACACACTCTATGTAACGTACATTTATAAATGGAGATGACAAAAGACGCAAAAACATGAATGTATAATTTGATATTACAAATCTGAATTATAAATAATCACGAAAGCCAGTGCGAAATTTTAGTGCAGTTAGTTATTGCAAAAATCTGCGAGAATTACGTGCACACTCGTCAAAATTTATCACTCTAATTAAAAACAAAATGATCGGCAATTGACACCATTTCACATTCTTCTTTTAGTTTGCGCGAAATAAGCGAAATAATCTATTCCAATAATATTCTATTCTACTAATTATCATGTCATGAATGAAGCTTTGTGTTATGGCAAAGCCATTAATAATTATGGAGAAGCACTACAGCGGACGTTTTGATCGTTTTAAAAGCCTGTGTTTCAAATTTCACATAAAATAAATAACTGAATAAATAAAGTGCAATTTCCTTATCTAAACCAAGAAAAAAAGAATTATTTTTGTGTTATTTACAAAAAGAAAACGTCTTCCTCTTTAAATATTGCATAAATATTTAATGAAATAATTGAACATAAAAGAGATGGAAGATTTACTAAAAAATTTAATTGTACAATTTATATATTACAATATATCTCAATTTTTATATATATATATTAAAAAATATAAAACAGTAATAATGTTTAAATATTAAAAAACAATACAAACAAAATTATAATATAATATTTATAATTTAAACAAAATATTAATACATATATACACATACATTAACAATTATAAGAAATATTTATTCCTTCCTGGTTATGCTGTAAAAAATTCCTGAAAATACCACGAAATGATAATTCGCGGTGAATAAAAAATCCGTTTGTATTAAAATGTGTACATACTACTGTGATAGTTAGTTAAATCAATCAGCGCGGGACTAACTGATGCGCAAGAAAAAATTTGGACAAGCGCAAAATGTCCGTTTATTCAAGACTTACGTTCAATTGAATGGACGGATCCAGGCAGAGAACCAGCGCGTGATACATGTATGAAGAGACACGTGGAAATCAATTTTTGTCAAGAACAAGTCATCGGCGTTCTTATCACGAAATATCTATTTATATTAATTAATCGCAATTAATCTTAATAGCGTCGCCAATCGTCACGCTCGTGCTTTTACCGATCTACCCACTTCCCTTTTTTTCTTTTCTCTTCTTTTAAATATTAAAACTTTGATTATGTAGCTAAAATTTAAGATATTACTTATAGGCAAATAAGAATGTAAATAAAGGATGTAAGATATTTAATAGCTCTTTATGTTTTATCCATTAAATATTAATAGCTTTCCTTAATATAAATATCGAGTATTCATTATTAAGGTTGTTTCGAATTTAAACACATTTAAATATTAAAGCTTATCGTTTTTTATCGCAATTAAACATAATTGCAAAAATAGATAAGTTTTTATGTGGTGTTCCCGTTAGAGTCAAAGTTTTCCCATCACATTTATCCTCGTCAAGAGACTGAAAGATCTTCCACCGAACTTCGTATCAGCAAAAATTGCATTGGATCGAGTGAAAAGAACAACGTAAGCAAGTGACGGCGCTATCGAAATCAAATGCTGAAAGTTTAAATCGAGATTTTGCTTCTTATATATATATATTTTGCTTATAAACATATGCAGATATAAAGTACACGATAAAAAAAGTAATTTAAATTTGTGTATCAGATTTTCTTACGAGCACGCAAAAAAAGCTCCTAGGAGAAAAATTAATCCCACAAAATTACCTTGTATTTTCCTTATTACGGAATTTTTTAGAAAAAAATAACTGAAATAATTTGTAACGGAAAAATAATTGAAATACATTAAAATAATTTATCTGTTATATACACTGCAATTATTGTATCACATTCACTTCAGTGACTTGACTTTTAACTTCTCTCGGGAACTTTTTTGTTTCGTATATCGATTTAAATGTTTGGTCCTGTATAAAAAAAAAAAAAATGGGAAAAGGAAGTATTATCGTATTATAATGACTTCAAAGTATGTCGGGAAATTCAGTATTAAAAATCTAATCAAATTGATAAAAGATTTAATCACCTCCTTGCAGCACCGGCTCGCCCAATTCGACATAGAAAAGAGCATCCTTCTCGTAGGAGTCCTCTTCGATAATTTCCAGGTTGATAACTTTTCTGAAACAATTACAGAATAGTTCCAAACAATTGCTCTGAAAATAATAAGTTTACTAGAAAATATATATATGGGCGCGGTTCTACGTTAAATTGAACAAAAAAATACGTATTATTTCTTTAGGACACTTTTTATACTAATAATCTTACAATGTTTCTTGAGAGAGACGTGGAATTTTTTAATTTACACAAATTCCGAAATCACAATATTTTTAGAACGCTCTAATTTTGGTTAAACGTTGATTTAAGATTTTTCGGCGATCAATCATTTTAAAGCAGATTCATTACATTTTCCACATGAATAAACAAATTTGTAAATAACATAATTATAAATAATATAATTTTTATAGAAAGCACTGTACTTTAAGTACACACAACCAACCAAAAGGATTTAATTAATGGACTCTCACGATTTAAATAAAAAATAAACATTCACCATGGCAAATAAAAGTAAAAACATATTTTTAACTTTCCATACCTTTTTTTTAAATAAAAAAATATATATAAATTTAAAAAAATTAATTGATAAAATATTGATCTGAATAGGTATTATTATACAGATCTTTTTATAAATAATAACTGTCTGTATCTATTTTTAGATTGCGCATCAAATTTTTTAAGAAATTAAACTTATCAGATTTAATTCTTGTTATGTATAATTACGTAATTCATTGGAGACGTTAAAAGTTGCAGACAATTAAACGCGAACTGTCTCGTACTGTTTCGAACGTCGTGAAAATCGATTTATTACTTTAGATAATTAAGTATCGAATAACTGTACAACTTGCAGGCGCACATTAGCGACAGAAAGCATAATTGAAGACTTCTTGGAAGCGTATTCTATTTTCTATTGTAGCCAGTAGTGTATAGTCTCGGCAGGATAGTCATCAATTTTCATTGAGAACAGAAACTATGGAATACCTTTTGGTATGTAAAATACTTTCAGTTGGATAGATCAAAATTTTCGAAGCGAAAAGTTAATGTAACATGAGATTTTTTATATTATTATTGTTGTAACATCAATTATTTAAAATGCAGAGAAGAATTACTCAATAAATCAGTTTCATCTTTTCTATATATTATTATTAATTATTATTACTTCATATTATTTATATTACACTGTAAAAAATAAAATGTTAATTTTAATTTAAAGTCGTACAGTGAACAAAAATTAACTTTAATTTTAATATTTTTGCATGTCTCCAGAAAATTCACTCTATATATGACTATAAGTTAAACTATAAAAATTAACATTTTATTTTTTACAGTGTATTAATCCTATATTATTAATTCATATCATTAATTATTAATACTTTTTCACTTTTTTCGCATGATATAAGTATAACAAAAATAGCGGATAAGAAATCAATTATTTCTTGTAACCATTTATTATTTTTTGATAACAGACATCTGTTAGGGGAATTGTAAAGAATACAATTTTGCTAGGTTATTTTGTGCACAGATAACGTGTAGTACAACATGAAAATGTCAAATTATATAGCACACACATCGATATGCCGTGTTTTTTTATATAAACAATCTTGATATAAATTCCGTTTGTAAACTTCTAGTAAACAATAAGATTCAAACACGCAAACTTGGTAACGCTATTAATTATTAATTACAACAATGTAATAGAAAAATTGACAACGCTTGGCCACATTATTTATTTATGCAACAGTAAAATTATAAATGATTAATTATTTATTAAAAATTTATATTGGGTACTGTAAATATATTATTTAAAGTGAAAAAGAAAACTCGTATTTTTAATAAATTTTAAACTCACTGTTATGTTATATACATTAATATATATTATTAATGTATATATAATTATAACTTACATTTAAATTTTAATATTTTTAATAAATTAAAAACGTTATCTAAGATATATCTAAGAAATGTGTGTACCAACCAAAAAAAAGCGATTTAAGAGACAAGCCTTCAGAGAAAAGAAAAAGCTTACATTCATTTCAGAGAAGAACTCTTAAATAAATTTATATAAATTTCTTGAGCATTGTGAAAACTTTCCTTCGAGGAAACGATTCCTTCGAGAATTCCACACATGAGAAAAATTAGCTAAGGTATCAGTTATGTATAGCATGTGTTGAGCTTTCATAATACGTAGCAGTAATATGAAACTACACAAGTGCAACGGAACGAAAGCTCGTTAAGGCGGAGAACTTCATTTAGCGGCGTTATAATTAAACCAACTAATGCTTGTTATCTTGACAGTGAAGCACCTTTGCACGCGAGACTTAATTCGCGTTCATTTATACTGTGCATGCGACTATCCCTTTCGCTTTATTGCAAATCTGTTTCGCTGTAATGTTCCTCAATGTGACAATTAGAGCGCCTCTGGGGGAATATAAATTGCAGCGTTGCATGTTTAATTTTTTTCGGAAGATGATGGATTTCTCTCTGAACGAGAAAATGAAAGATAAGATTAGGAATGTATAATAATTAATTCCCCTTAAATCTTAATTGGGAAAGATAGGATTAGGAATGTCATAATTTGCTTTTTTATCTTTAAACCTTAATTCGTACTACAATTCCGCTTTTAATTTAAAAAAAAAAAAAAAAAAAAATCAACATTAATATTCAGCAGCAAGTCCTGCGGAGATTTTTTTATGCCATATTAACGAGGCGACTGCGAAACTAACTGCTGTGCAAAATCGCATCGTTGTACTCGACATAAACAAATCACGTCGATTTATTCTTTAGAGAAATGTGCGAGTGTGATTTATTAATCCACGAATACAGAGCGATGCCGAGTTTGCACTTAATTGCGAATTAACTGACTACAAATGGCTACGGAAAGCAGTGTAATGCTTTTAATAGTCCGAGATATCGTCTAACGCGATTAGCCGACCCTTTATGTTGGAGGTCTTAAGGTCTTGGGGCAAATTGTATTACATCATGTAACATGTCTCGCGTCTTACTAAAATGAGTTCTTTCGCTTTAACAAGTCTCGAGAAAGTCAGTTTGAAAAAAACAAATCGAAAATTGTCTATAAATTCTTTTTGAAACAAATCTTTTTGAAATCTCAAAGCTTTACTGAAGACTTTTCTTTAAAAAATTCTGAGTAATTCCGAGTAAAGTTTCGTTCAACACTGTTCAGATAATTATTAAAACAATATCTATATAAATTTAGATTTTACGTTTTTCTAATTTTCGTATTTTAAATTATAATTAAAAGTAAGAATATCTATAGGGTGTCCCTCAATTGTTGACCAAGCGCTTTTGTGTAAATAAAGCGAACTAAATTGAGTCAAAAAGTCCTCTATCATTTTACAACCGTTACAATAATATTAATTAAAACTCACTTGAATTATATTGTTTCAATAATTTTTTATTCAAATACTATCAATTTTACAGAAAAACAACAAGAGACAAAAATTATTTATTTTCTTCTCATAAAGTTTTGAGTATTTTTTCAGAATTTTTTAATACCACATTTTCTCATATTAGTAAAAATAGTTGTCAATAAGAAAATGCAGTTGATAAAGAACTCAAAAGTTGATAAAGAATTCTAAAAAAATTCTCACAGCTTCTACAAGAAGAACAATTTCTGTCTCTTGCTGTTTTGTAATGCTGATGTTGGTATTTGAGTAAAAAATTATTGAAAACCGATATTTAATTCGGCAATTTTTAATTAAGTAATTAATATCTCATTAAATTATTATTGCAAAAATTGCAAAATGATACAAGAGGATTTTTCGACTCAGTTTAATATACTTTGTCTACACAAAAGCGCTTGGCGCCAAAAATTGTGAGATGTACACCCTGTACATATTCTTACTTTTAATTTAAAATACGAAGCTTAGGAAAAATATAGGATCTAAATTTATTACAATTTATTACAACAGCGCTTGGCGCTGTTGTATTGTAATAAAAATTGCGGGACACCCTGTACGTGCGTGCGTGTACATCTACATCCCTTACTTGCTACAACAATGACGCAACTCAAAAAAACAAAGCTTTCCAGAAAATAAGTTTAAATGTTATAAAACATAAAAATTTTGTAATTATTATATTATATATTATAATGTAATTTTGAAATATAATTTTGTTGTAACATGTAGAGAAATAAAAGTGTATTCTTTTTAAAGTATATTCTTTCTTTTTTCTTTACGTTTATTTCATTCTTCCTCTGCATCTTAAAAATGACAATTTCCTATATCATTGTTGTAGCAATTGAAGGTAATCGTAACATGAATTAATATTACTAGTGCATTAAATATTAAACAAAATTGAATTATGAGCAACAAATAACAAATTCAATTTTTTTAAATATATTTTTAAGCAATTATTTTTCCAAGACCTAGGCTGTTATATATTCAAAATACTTCTTTATATATAAAAAGTTCCCATTTTGAATTCTTCTTTTCTAAGTTTAAGATAATTCACATTTGTTATCCCTAAAAAAAAAATCCTCTACACAAGTGCACTTTAGTAAAAGAGCAAATATTTCGGAGCCATCGTTCGAGTACGAAATAAAATGTCGTTTACTTGAACCATTCTTGCATGAGATGCGAATCGAGTCGCTCATGCGAATAGAAGGGGAATAAGAAGGGTTTTCACCCTTGGCGAAGAGAAGAGATTAAATATAACATCAGTGGCGGCTTAGCGTGAAAAACATGACACGTTTTATACCTATTTATACAAATTACAGACTGTTTGCTGTTTTTATTTAATAACTTTATTATAAATGCATACGTATGAATATGGTACTTTGACAATCAGATACAAACATTTGAGAAAAATTAACGAGAGGCAACGCTTTTCCTTAACGATATGAATGCCGACGCCTATGCTGCGAGATTGATCCGATCACCCAGTGTGAGCCAAAGTAACATCATAACGAGCATAACAGAGCAAGTTCGGAATTCATACGTTCGAAGCGTTGCCAACGCGCAGCGATGTCCAAAAGAAAGAAAAAGAAATTTGCATGCACGCACGAACGTAGATAACTTTGCAATTTTTTTTATTTATTGCAGAAA